TACTAAGTTGTACTGGTTCTTTGTTCGATGTTTATCATATTCTCTTGGCCGTGATTTGGGTTGTCCATAAATTGCTTGCCTTCTTATTCAATGCCACACAATCTCATAAGATATAGCGAGTGGTATCTGGTCCTTCGTTTCATTGCCTGCAGCTTATGTCTCCGTTATGTAGCCTTATTTTGTTCTCCAAATAAACAGTAAGTAGCCCAGTAATTATTTTGAGCTGATCCTTGCCCTGCTGAACCCTTTATTTTGATGTAAAACATCTACAGCCAGCCGCACGTAAAACCGAGTGCTGCCGTGGTGACGCGTCGCCCCGCAAAGACTGTACGGTTATGTTCCCACTGGTTCGGCGTTACGCTATCTCTCTTGCCACACTGAGCTCCGATACCTATAGTTTACTAAATAAACAATTTTTTCAACAATGAAAAATAAAATATGTCTGACAATGATAATTGAGAAACTGAAAGTGGGCAGCCCTCCTGCAGAAACAAAAAGCAAAATCATATTACGATAGTAGTGTGATTTTGCAGTAAATTAAATATATTTTATAATTAAAGTGTGCATTTTTCTGTGCATTGAGCCCGCGTATATTTGTTAATGTTGAAGGGTCAGTTAATGTAAAATCTACTCACTTGATAGATTAGAATTTACACAATTTTCATAGCATATAATATTCTCAAATTGATTATTAATTTCAATTTCATTCTTATGAAAAATAATGCACTATAATAACACTTGCTTGAAAAATTCACTTCATAAAGACTGAGAAAATTGTATTTCAAAATCAGCTGATAGTGAGTAGTGCATGAATGTTTTTTTATTTTTTATCAACAGGAACATCAAAAAATTAATTAATTTTCGATATTGCAATAATATTGCAGTAACTAGCCAAGATTCTTGAAATGTTTTCATGTATAGGGTCTTCCAACGGTCATCTTGTTGAAGCTATATCTGTCAAATTAGTTGTCATTCATTCAGTCAGTCTGTTTTGCCAGATCTCCATGAAGGGATATAGCATTCAATAACATGTAAAACATGTGTTTTATAAAAATGATTTTCTGTTGAAGCAACGTACCGCGCCCTTCTCCCATTTTACGGTCGCCATAATCGTCCTACCGAGAGAACTATTCGCAATGTGGTGGATGAATTTGAGTCTACTGGTTCGGTAAACAATCGACCAAGACCCAGAAGTCAACGAAACGCAAGATCTGCCGAAAACATCGCCGCTGTCTGTGAGAGTGTGCAGGAGAATCCGAGGCAGACGATTTCGCGTCACTTACAGGCCTTTTACAGACCACAACTTGGCAATGTTTGCGTCATGACTTGGGCCTGCATCCGTACAAAATTCAACTAACTCAGGAAGTGAAGGTAAACGACCATAGACACCGACATATGTTTGATAAATGAGTTCTGGAGCAGTTTTCAACTGACCCTAATTTTCATCGAAGAATTATCTTCAGCGATGAGGCCTATTTCTGGATGAATGGGTTCGTGAACAAATAAAATTGTCGAATTGGGAACGATACCAATTCACATGATATCCAAAAGCGTCCAATACATTCCAAAAAAGTTAATGTTTGGTGTGACTTTTGGGGTGGCGGCGTTATCGGTCCATATTTCTTTAAGAACGACGTTGGCCAGGCCATTACTCTCAACGACGAGCACTATAGGTCGATGATTATCGACTATTTTGGTCAGTATTGAAAGATCTGGACACCAACATGTGGTTTCAACAGAAAAACGCTACGTGCCACACAGCTCATGCTACATTGGATATTCTGCACGAGCGATTTGAGGGCATGGTCAACTCACGTGGAGGTGATGTGAACTGTCCACCGAGATCATGCGATTTGATCCCATTAAACTTTTTCTTGTGAGGTTTTCTCAAGTCGCAGTTGTATGTGAATAAGCCATGGAAAGTTGAAAGTTTCGGATGTGCTCCATGCAGAGAAACCGTGGCGGACATTCAAACGGCTTTATATAGAATCGAAAGAAAAAATTCGATAATATCTCACACACACTTTGTTTTATTTAAATTTAAGGCTCAATGAAAGACCCATATATTTTGATAACATTTTTTTAATATTTCAGTACCCAACAGGGGTCACAAATAGTATCATTGATTTTTCACATCTGCCAGGCGTTTCGTGACGGCTCACACTTTTTTATTGGTCCGTTTCCTAGTCATGTCCCGCACAAATAATTCTGGTACAGTTGGTTCAAAGCCAATACAGGGTGTCCCTGGACTTCCTCTTTTCCTCTCGGGAATGTATAGATGGGGTCAAAATATCACCAGTACTTCATATAACTTTTTTTCCTAAAANGCTCTCTGTCTGACAACAGAGAGATCCTTGCTGGAGTGCCACAGGGGGCCGTGCTCTCTCCCACGCTCTACTCCCTTTACACCAGCGACCTTCCGAGGTCCGAGCATGCGAAGGTATCTCTTTACGCCGATGACACGGCTCTCCTCTCATCTTCCATGGGTCGAGAGCTCGGGATCATCTATATGCAACGTGCATTGGGCGACCTCGAGCGCTGGTACCTCGAGTGGAAGATCCGAGTGAACCCGGAAATAACTCAGGCAATAATCATGGGAAGAACGATAGCTTCTCCGGCCATGAAAGTGAGAATCTCTGGAAGGGAGATTAACTGGCAAACGCGGGTCAAGTACCTAGGTCTTCTTATAGATCGTAGGCTCACCTGGAAGGCGTGAAGGCAAAGATCCAGGGTCGGGTGGCAAGCCTGTACCCTTTGATCAATAGAAAATCTAAGTTAAGCCTAAAGAATAAAATCATGATCTATAACATGATGTTTAAGTCTGTCATCATGTATGCTTCAGGCGTTTGGGGACAAGCGGCTCCGACTAACATCTCCATCTTGGAGACCTTACAAAATAAAATTCTACGGATCATTGTGAATGCTCCGTGGTTCGTGCGGAATGAAGCCATCCGCAGAGATTTGAAGCTGCCTTCCATTCAGCAGGCCATCCAGTCGAGGAACCGGCGAGTTTTAGATTACGCTGAAACTCACGAAAATCCGTTAGTCAGGGAAGCTATAGATTACGCTGTAGACGACCCCTCCCGATATAGAAGGCCCCGACACTCTGTCGAATGAGGCCCCTATGTCCTCCGTTAACAGATGAATAATATCTTCATCATCTCACCCCAGCCTGAGGGGTACACCGCGAAGGGCGGTATGGATGTCTGAGGACTTTCATGCCACCTTCAAACATCAGTCATGACCCGTTTGTCTTTCTGGCAAACATCAGTTCAAAGGGGAAGGGAGCCAGGCTTCAACCTGAATAAAATCAATCGAGGACCGCCTGCCCAGTACTGACGATTCCCAATAAGCTGAAACAGCTGTCTACCGGTGGCTCTTGGATTGAAATTAATATGGTTTTATCAATATGATTTTATAGGAAAACTGGGCCTGTAATTTTTTCGGTACTATCAATCCTAAATAAATCTAGTTGTCAATTTCTGTAGATTATTTCACATGCGAATGCAATACAAACTTTTCAACTGAGTTTCAATTGAAAATGAAGACGGTTGTTATTTTTGGCATAACTTCAGAACTGCTCAGTATATGTCTATACGATATTATATTGGTCAGAAGTTTTTCTGTCGTTAATCGAATATAGAAAGCATTATATATCATTCCATTAAAAAACCTAACTTTGATACGTTGGACGCTCCTACTGGGTGCCCTGTACATTAGGTATTATTTTATGAGAGCCCAATGCATTAAAATCTTAAACTTTTGTAGTTTCAACCCAATGTGAGACACACTGTATATGTTTTTGTTAATGAAATGAGAATATTTTGAGTTCGATTTTCTTCAACCTGACCCGTTTCTGCAGAGGAATATATTTTGTAATTATTACATTTCTCTATTCACTGCCGGACCATTGAAATGAATTGGTAAAACCTCAACAACAATGTAACGGACCACTAAGATAAAGCTTTTCAGACACGGTCGAAATATCTTGGTACAGCCCATATGTTTACACACAGACTACAACTGATTTGTCATGTGCAAGCAGAGCACCTGGCCGACGACATGAAGCCATATTGTGCCATCAATTGGGTAATCACTAGTGTGGACTTGGGGATAGGCAAACTAAACTCTTGTCGAGACAAAGAGAAGCCGCAAAAGTGTTACGACACTCCAGTCTGGTTTGTGAACTGACCGTTTCGTCTGGAACACTAAGGCTAGTTGCACACTCACCGATTTAGGACGGCCAGTATAAAATCGGCGGATATTTTATTGGTAGCGGGTGCTTGCACCGGATTTTTATCGGTCAAACAATCAATTGCTTTGTTGTCGTAATTAGCACGCCCTATCAAAACGAAGTTAATGCGTAGTAACTACAAATTCACCGAGCATTCGAGACTGGATTGGTCGGTAAAAAACCGGTGAGTATGCAAGAGTGTATTTAGTCATGTACGCCACTACTTCCCGGTACTGCTGGCGATACAGTGGCAGTGGACGGCTGCTCACCGGTATTTTACCAGCGAAGATCACCGGTCGGCGTGTGTGCCAGGTCCCGTTCCCACATGTGGTTCACTATTGGAATTTGGACGACCAGTACAAAGTTGGCCGTCCAAAATCGGTGTGTGTGCAGCTAGCGTAACTCTGCTGAGTTGAACATATATATAATAGATGTTCAGGTCTTTGAAGATAATCATTAATAAAAATTTCTCCCAATTTCAATTCACCATCAATTTTATAGATAGGTTTGTTAAAATTAAGCATTAGGCACGGTCATTCATCAACCCATCAGAATCACCAAATTATATTTCCATCAAACGGTATTGTTTTCATCAAATTTAATTTGTATTATGTCTGCACTACTTTTCTCCATAACTTATTCGGTATGGAATATTGTCGAAAAGCTCCTTCAACATAAATGGTAGAACATAATTTTGTTTCGTAACGATCAGAATTAAATTGAAAAATATTGTATTTGTATCTGTATCCATTTACCATTTAGATTTTCGAGAGAAACCAGAGGGAAACAAACTCTTGCAAATTTAGTGACTGCTATTGGTATGATGGAAATCTATGATTTGGCAGAATGGAATTCAGCTGTGGTGGATTCGGTTTTGGTGAATGGAGACAACTATTTTGTTAAGTGCATTCAGGATATCTCCAATGAAGATTATGAAATTTCAATGGACGATTTGAAACCCGATTGTTCCATATTTCCATTCGCTTTCAACGTTACCTTCACTCCAGTTGTGGAAGGAACTATGTTTTTGGTTAGAGTTACGCAATTCAACCTGTTCAAAGCTCTAAGGTGAGTCATATTTTGATAAATGAATAAGTGACATTTATCGATCATAAAAGTAACACGTTAAGAAATCATTTTTTCTACTTGTTCTGCATATCCAATCAAATCTTGTACTATGAAACATGACAAAATATAATTGAAACCTTCTTCCCAGATTTTTTTTCAGTAATGTCGTCAGGAGATGTGGAATAATAAGTTGCACAAAATCGGAAAGGAAACATCACGTGGCTTTCGGAAAACTACAAGAATCTGAGTACTTTATGTTCGATAGTGACTGTCAAGGTAGTCCAATGTTCCTTGGAGGTTACGGTGTTGCCTATATTCTCAGGATGACAACATTGAATATGTTACTACATGTTCTCACTTTCACTTTGAGAGGTGGATATTTTTTCATTTATGAGGTAGATATTACTAACCTGAAACACATAAGTTGAATATCATGCCAATAAAAGTGTAAGCTTGTTGATGCATTTTTTATTTAGTGTTATCATGAAAGTTGTAACAACCATCTGTGGAACCATCTTTGATCTTAGCAGGAGATTAAAGCCGGTACTTGGCCTTTCCCACCACTATGACGTTATAACTGGAATTTTAATTACTGATGATATCAGCAAGATTACTTGGAAAAATATGTCTGATGCATAGGTGTAAATAACGTTATAGAGACATCCTTTCTCCATAACTTTTTACCTTGACTAATGTCACACGGCCTTGAGCATACCACCTTGAACATGAACTATGTACATGCAATGTGACCTTGAATGTGGAGTTTGACGTTTAATGTTATTTCTTTCGACATTATCTGTAACAACTTTTTCTCGAAATAAAACAACACCGTTGTTAAGCGAACGGAAAGAGATATTAAACGGTATCTAGCGTTATTTAAAAAAAAGCAGCCCACGTGAATGAAATCTTAAAATTGAGTAAGCCATATTGGTCTACAAATTTTCATGAAAATTCTACACGAATGAGTCGCTACACTAGAGATGGTAGAATGTAAAACTAGAAACTAACGCTAGTTGCACACACACACCGATTTAGGACGGCCGACTTTGTACTGGTCGTCGAAATTCCAATAGTGAACCACATGTGGGAACGGGACCTGGCACACACGCCGACCGGTGATCGTCGCCGGTAAAATACCGGAGCAGCCGTCCACTGCCACTGTATCGCCGGCAGTACCGGGAAGTAGTGGCGTACATGACTAAATTCACTCTTGCATACTCACCGGTTTTTTACCGACCATTGCAGTCTCGAATGCTCGGTGAAATTGTAGTTACTACGCATTAACTTCGTTTTGGTAAGGCGTGCTAATTACGACAACAAAAAAAGCAACTGATTGTTTGACCGATAAAAATCCGTTGAGTGTGCAAGCACTCGCTACCAATAAAATATCGACCGATTTTATACTGGTCGTCCAAAATCGGTGTGTGTGCAACTAGCGTAACCGCTTTTCGAACCCGAATAAATGCGTTCAATTTGGTTTGAATGTTATTGATATTCATTTGGAATGCCTTAACATATTCAAACTAATGAATAAAAATTGCGAAAATAAAATTATCAGAGACAAACTTTTTAGGAGAACCCACCGGAAAAATTGCTAAGCTAAGCTGGTGAATGCGTGACGAGAACGGTACGAAAAGTGTGATCGGGCGGGGAACGCGCTTGACTTCGGAAGTGAGCTGGTGATTGCATGACGAGAGCGTTACGAAGTGTGAAGATGAAGGACGGAAGTTGAGATGGAGGTATAAGTTAGTGAAGATTGAAAAAGAGAGTTAGGTTTCGTATATTACTGTCGGGGCAAGAGAGAGAGGTGCGAGCACACATTTACAGTCGGGTAGAATAAGGAGAGAACTATCATACGTGGCCACTAATGTCAGCAGGAAATTTCAATGGTAATTTCGCGCCCGAAGATGGACAAATCTTGGTAAACTTTCCACAAGATAAATTAGAACTACAAATGAATAATAACCGATAATAACCTACATCAAGACATGGAACAACAATCAATGCAGTTTTCTCTAGATATATTTCTAATTTTAATTCGAAAACATGGCTGGTTTTATATTTCAATATATATTTTAAAAATTCTAAATCTTTTCGCGGAGCTTGAATTGACAAAGGCGCACAATACCATGCTTATACAAACAATCTAATATATAAAAATGGATGTTTGTTGGTTGGTAAGTGATAAACTTCTACATCGCTCAACCGATCGTGATGAAACTTGACATGTATAAGTAATTTGTCATAGAGAAGGTTTTTAGCCTATCAATTTTTCTGTAACCAGCCACTAGATGGCGCTGTAGAACAATTTTTTGAAAGCACTGTTCTATAACGCTGCGCACGCCTAAGTTCGTTGATTCTGATTCTGTCAAAACATTGGAACATCAGCAATACAGCAACATAGTACTAATTAGTATTACAACTACCAAATTCTACGCGGCTGAAGCCGCGAGCAACAACTAGTCAATATATAAAAATGAGATTTTTCATGAGCGTTGAAACTGACAATAACTCGACTTATAAATTTGAAAGTGGAGACCTACATAAATCGAGTTGCTCGTTTAGGGTTATATATTTCGGTTTTTATATGATTTATATTAATTTCCAAGGCTTTCAACAAATTCAGTTTCTTCCCTTTACATGTGTGTAGAATTTTGAGATTATCTTCACTTATCTTGTGTTTTGAATTTTGCAGATGTTCATACATTGTAGATTTTCTGTCCAAACAGATGTGTTGTGTTCATGGACTTTACATCAAAATTTCTATCAGTTTGGCCTATTTATACTGCAGTTCACCGCAATTTGTTTAAATTATTATTAGTTCATCCTGGAAGTTCTTTATAAGGTAAGTTTGACAACCCCTGTAATTTCTATAAACTTCAGTGTTGAATTGTTATAGTTGGCACCCCTGTTTACTTAATTACCTCACCACAGCTTATCTACAAACTCTCTATATATCAAGTTTTTAGATTTCAAATGTATTAGTTAGTTTTTATACTTGATAATTCGGAATTGTTTGTTTGCCACTTATATCTACTGGTGAAGTGCTGGTATGATAAGCAATCTAATTTCAAGTTTCAAATAGGCAATAGTGTTTCTAGTAATCTTATAAAAATATACATATGACGGACTCCTCAGCTTTCTACTTTGCCGGGGAAAATTTGTTCCTGGAACAGAAAAACTTTCAAGCAATAGATGGCTTTAGAAAGCCATCGTTCCAGGTTTTCCAACAAAAGTTTGAATGTCAATTCATTGATATTATTATTTCATAGTTACCATGGGTTAAAATTTATCTATACAAAATTTCGTTTCTTAAATTAACAATTCAATAACTCTGTAAATAATATTTAATATAAGATTAAAAATCACAATATTAATTTTCCCAACTGAAGAAAAATACAATGTGATAAACAGTATTTCTTGCACATCCTGTAATTTGAGTTGCATTGGTGAGACTTCTCGTAACCTTTCTTCACGAATTTCTCATATAAAAGTGACTGTAGACCCAATAAAAGATCTTGTGGTTTTTAGCAGAGCTTGTAATTTCGGAGGATCATTATATGGATTATAACAATACCACAATTCTATCTTTAGAAAATAATAAAACTAAAAGATTGTTCCTTGAAATAGTTCACATTAGTAAAAGTCAGAATTCTTCAATTAAAAAATCAGAAATGAAATATTCGTGCTAAATTTATAATAACATTTTAAGTTTTGAATAAATAATAAAAATGAAAATAAAAATAATCAACTCTTATATCACCTCAATTGATTTTACAACTATAATAATTTTTTTTTTACTGGGAATTATATTCATGATAACTTGGTACAGGCCAAAATTATTTTCAGATCCATTTTCTTTGATAATGTGACAGATTATTCAACGTTTGTCAACATTTTTCATCTTTCATCGTTCTTTATGTTTGTAAACTCATGCCATTCTATACATACATACATATATACATACATACATACATACATACGTACGTACGTACGTACGTACGTACGTACATACATACATACATATAGATGGAGCTAGAGAAGTTTCACTTCAGTCGTGTGGTCTAAAGCATACTCCTGGCTTTTTCTTTCTTTGTTTTTATGGGGGTTTTCTCACTCACTATCGACCTAACCTAGTCGTTTCTACTATTTTCTTAGTATGTTTTGCGACGCAAGACGCGATATATTTTTACACACTTTTACTTTATCAGCTCCATACCTCTTTTAATTCTGTAATAGGCTTTTTATTCACTTTTGAATATGTTTGTTATCAACATTGTTTTCGTTGTATGTATTCTTATTAATTTTTATATCGTGTAACCATGGCTTCAGATGAGTATTTTCGTCCTATTTCTTATGTTTCAACGTGAATTTATTTTTTCTTTTTACTCCTCATTTTATATGGAAATTAAATTCAATATTTTATTGGTTGCTCAAACAAACGATTGATCAATCGCATAAAAATAATGGTTAATTCAAAATATGTGTACCTATAACTAACCGAAACAAATTGGTTTCAAACGATTTGAAATTGACCAAAAAAGTTTTTTTGTCACCTTCAGTTTGATTTGAATTATTTATGAACTAGAAACCAATACATAATTAACAGTCAAATTTTCGACTACGGAAATGGGAAGAATTTCAAGTTTCATTTTGATATTCAGGTTTAAATTTTGCCTTAAGGATAGGTAAAGGAAAAAACTACAAAATAAGGAGAAGAAATTGAAAGGGGTACATTTTTATGAAAGAATTATTTTTGGGAAAGGAAGGTTTTGGCTTTCTACTTATCCAGTGATTGCTTTAAATTTTTCCATGGGTCTGTATTAGTTGTGATCTGAGATTGACCGTAATTCTCGGTATTCAATGTTATCCGTTACTGAATTGACAGTGTCGACAGAATATTGAACTTGTGAGCAACTTTATTTTCATTTTTTCAAATTATAATTATGTATACAGAATAAAATACAACTCGCAACGACTTTGTAATGGAATGTGTTGTGGAATTGGCCGAGGTGGTAGTGCCCGCGACTCACGATCGGAAGGCCGTGGGTTCAATTCCCGCCTCGACCAGATATTTTTCTCGAGATAATTTATCTGGTTGAAGCTGGGATGATTCTGCAACCGTGTTAGGAATCACACGTTAAAAGGTAAGACCTCGTTAGTCCTTAGCTAGCACAAGTTTCTCAACTTCTGAGAGTTGTCGTTCGTATTGGGGCGACAACTGATCAACAGAAAAGAAGATTTTAAAAAGAAACAGTAATTATTCGAAATGTTGACGTATTTTTACGAACTATTCTGTTACAGTCAATAAGTGGTATTCTTTCATTCATTACTTTATTTATTATTTCGAAATTAAAACTGATCAAACTGAACATGTTACTTAAAATTCAAAATTAACGCGCTTGTTTCATTTGTTCACTGCCGTTCGT